CATTGCTTCTATCTAGAGTTCTCCCCAAACTATTGATTGGTTTTGACTTTCTGTGGAACTCTTGAGCATTTCACCTTCGTACTTTCGAAGACAGCCAATTCAACATTACATGTTCCCACTATTTCTCTTTTATTATATGAATTGCCATTTGTAATTTCTGATAATCTCTTGAGCTTTGTTATTGTACTGCATGTTGAGTATTGAAATGTGATGCTCATGCTTTAGTGCAAAACAACTGGGTAGTTCTGTTTTAGATCCATCATCTACTTTGTCTATTATTCATATCATGTTCTTGTTAAATTCTTGTTAGGAGTGGAGTAATAGGTGCTACTCACTAGATGCAATTCACATAGTAATCTATTATATTTCATTGGTGAATGCATTACCTGCATTACTTGAATAACAATCTAAATAAAAAAAATCAAGGCATGTGTTTCCTGTAGTTTACAATCTTGAGGGCATCCACAAAATTCTTAACACCCGCAACATCTTCTAAATCTTGAGAGGTTTTGCGAGCTCAAGGCTTCCTTGGACCAGTCAACTATCGCAAAATTTTGGACAGCCACTACTGTAGCATCTTGGACATTTCGCCCGAGAGACCGAGGCAATGTGTTTCGTCTTGTGTCATATAAATGGGTGTTGGCCCCTCCTACTGTGCTTCAAGTCATTGGTTAAGTGGAGTGAAGCGTTGAACATCTGTGATTTTGATGACGAACCTGTCAAAGGCTGACTTCAAGGCTTCTAAACTAGCCATGTTTGGGTTTATATACTCTGATAGGTTATGTTCATCTGTGACCAGCCTACCAAGAGAAACAATATTTTGGTATGCTCCAATATCTTAGTACTCAAATTTAATATGTGAAGGAATATATGTATCCACTTCATAATTAAATCTCAACTACAATGGCATTGTGGCAAGTTGTGGATGGGTTAAATGGGGAGAATAGCATGTAGTATTTATACTTCTAGGATACCTATTAGAGCCATATGTGTGGGACAGTCATATTATTGGTGAACCCAACCAACTTTGTCACGCAGAAGGACAACCATAACCATATTAGGACAGTCATGTAACTTCTATGCTCAACCAATTGCCACAAGCAAACCACCGCATGTTAAATAGTATAAAAATCAATATTCTATACAATCTTCATGTAAATTAAATGAGAGTATTCTAGTCTCAACCATGTAAGACGCTTTGAATCACACTAGCATAGTGGCCAACACATATGCATGGACAACGTCTTAATCATTTATTATTTATTTTTCTCTATAGCTCATACATTCTATTTGATTTTAAGATATACTCCCTCTGTTCCAAAATAAGTGTACAAAGTTGAGTCACTTATTTTGGGACGGAGGGAGTACATCGTTTGATGTTACACTTGAGTTAAAACTTTAGTTGATTGAAAAGAATCTATGAATTCTCTAATATAATTATATGGGCCAGCGTGATACTTGAAGTTAATCGTCTCCAAGTGAATGGTCTATATATATGATCTCAATTTTCACAAAGTAAATGGTGAAATATTTGTTTGATGGTGGTGATGTGACATTTTTCTGATGATGCCCACCCCTTACACGTTGCTTCAATCTAGAGTTATCTCAAAACCGTTGATTAGTTTCAACCTTTTGTGGAGCTGTTGAGCTTTCCTTCACCTTCCTATTTTGGAAGACAGCCAACTCAACATTACATGTTCCACTGTTCCTCTTATATTGTGTGAAATTGTCTTCTGTAAATTTTGATGAGCTGTTAGCCTGTGGCTTGAATTAACACTAATGTTTGCATCATTAAGGATGTGGACTTCTGTGCTTTGTTTGTCGTACTGCACATCTAGTCTTGAAATGTGGCACTATGCTTTAGTACAGAACAACTGTGCTTTTTTGAATTTACACTCAGACAAGTTGAAAGATCTGCATTGAAATTTCGTCAACTAGTTCAGTTTTACTCTTCAAACCGTTCAAACTTTTCACCTCAATTTATGGATGTAAAAGTAGAGATAGCTGATGCATAAAATCTGTTGCTGATGACTGCACTAGCCGAGTATTGTTTTGACCAGAAATGTTAATTCTCTTTGTACTTTAATATCTGTTCACTAATGCTTAGAGCAGCGATGCAATTAACGGGATCTTGGCCGCAGGGAAAATGAAAGGCATCGCATTCATCAAGGATCCCGATGGCTACTGGATTGAAATATTCGACCTGAAGAGAATCGGGGAGGTGACTGCTACTGCATCATGATGAAGCGTAAAATTCAGATACCCGTAAAACGGGGCCACGCCTTCAGAAATGATATGAACTCAGTTATATCAACTATGCTTATATTCATGTGCCGCTAGTTACAACGTCATGCGCAAAGATATCATGTGACCGATGTTTGAGCATAGATAGATCTGGCGCTGTAACCATTCAGTAATGTCGTAAGCTGCAGGTTGGATATTTTGGCATAAATAAAGGGCAGACTATTAGTCAGGCGACTCAGAATTTATGAAGTTTCAGTCGCCTCCACCCCCGTTTCAGACCAATAATACTAGATGTACAGGCTGATTGATACAAGACTTTACAGGGAGAGAGCGTGGCCTCATCTAATTGGCCCTCATCTAATTGGCCCTCCCTGATTTTCACTGATGGGCCCATCCTCCTAATTAAATCTCCGCCAATCACAGTCCATCAGCCCTGTAAACTCCCTGTAACTTCCTGTACGTCTAGCATTGCTCGTTTCAGACTATTAGTTTGCCTGACGTCGCCGCTTCCGAGCAACCGCCACATCTCCGCGCTTCTCCCCGTCGCCGGCTGTCGATCGGGCTGCCCGGTGCTGTGCACATGCATGCCACGCGATGTTAGACTGTTGTCTTGAAACATAGCAAACGCTACCAATTAAAAGTTTAAAACTAACTTTATAAACATCAGTTTTGCTAAAGCACGTTGTCCAAAGTATTGCACATCTAAGTTTTATATTGGGGATAACTTTTGGCACATTGATGCGGAGTGCAAGGGCGTATTTTGCAGATTCAGCTATAAGGCAACAGAGCATGACATCTCACAAAAAGCGGGGTTTCCTCGGTACTCCCTCCGTCCTTTAAAGAGTCCTTTAAAGAGTGTACTCCCAACTTTCTTGGAAAGTCAAACTTTTTTAAATTTGACCGTGTTTATATAATAATACATCAACATTTATGCCATCAAATTAGTAGCATTAGATTCGTGATAAAATATACTTTCATCATATACCTATTTGATTTCACAAACATTGATATATTTTTGCATAAACTCGGTCAAACTTTGAAATAGTTTGACCCTCCAACAAAGTTGGAAGTACACTCTTTAAAAGATGGAGGGAGTACGTACAAGGATAAAGAATGGGAGGATACATACAAGGATAAACTAGCCTGAGTGGCCATGGTGGCTCCCGGCCACATCCGATATGAAAAAGATTTGGAGTCAACCACGGGGAAAAATAAGCCCTGTTTTTATGTGCTCGCAAACCGTCACGTTGGCAATATTTCTCAATGCCCAATTCGCAACGGCATCTGTACTTGAACATTGTAATAGAGAATTAAATGTAGTTGCTCATGAGCTAGCTGAATGGGGGCGTGCAAACGGCCCTTTCGTATGGGTGGATGCATCTCCGATTTTTGTTGCTAGCAGACGATGTAAGCATTATTTGAGCTTAATAAAGCTAGCCGATGAGGCCTTTTTGTAAAAAAGTATTGCAGATCTAAGTCCTATGCCATTGATTTTTATGCGGAGATTCATGCAAACAGTTTATTTTCTCTTTTTCTCTTTTCCTTCCTAGTTTGATTGAGCCACTAAAATGTTTTTTTTCTAGAATATGCATAAGCATGCGTATCATATGTTCATAAAAGAAAAGGCCAAGATGGCCGATACATCGCCTTTGGGCACAATGCCACACCAAGAGGTTAGCATCTACATCCACCATGACAACACCGACACACTACTTGCCCTACCTAAACTCAAGCCATAAATGGCGAAGAGGTCGAACACAGAGCACACATGCCGCGTCACATCCGGATCCACCTCGGAGCATGATCTCCAAACCAAACTAGAGCACATCTAGATGCGCCCTAGAGACTCCCAATATTGATATATTTTTCTATTAGTTTGATCAAATTAGAAATACTTTAACTTTAGACAAACTTATATGCAGACTAAAAAGGAATGGAGGGAGTGCAAAGAGAGATTCTTATCAGTCTTGCTAATCCCAATCGAAGTTTTCTTATGTCTTAAGCTCTGAAAAAGGCAACTTCCATTGAGACCCCTAAAAAAAACTTCAGTTTAGTGAAGAGTTGAACTTAGATGCACACTCTTATAATCCTCCATTTTTATTCCTACTCTTATGAAATTGCCCAGTTAATTGACGTATTAAAACCCGTGTGCAACGAGAAGTTTAGAAACATGGAAATTGGACAGTGCATATTTTTCTCTGAACCAAAATTGTACACTCTTAAATCATGTTTCTGCAAACTTGCAGACATACTTACGAAAGGTATTGACATTTGTAAGAAATTCATTGGAATAAGGATAACAAAAAAAATTAAAATTAGACTGAATGCTCACACAATACGGATCTATTTAGTTGATCACAAACCACATGTTTCTGATAGTAATATCCTCCTCGCAGGTTCAGTGACACCTGCAAGCCCAATCGCCGTGAAAAAATTGATGGCGAAGCGCGTGCTCTCGGCGGAGTCCCGGGGGAAAAGGGCGTCACGGACCTCCGGCTCGTCGTCGTCGTTCATCCTCCGGCCGAGCAGCCGTACCCCGAGCTGCTCCGCCATCTCCTGGAACATTACCTTCATCAAGATGCGCGACGACGAGGTGGTGTCATCCTCCGTGATCCTGACCCCGCCCAGCACGTTGCGCCACGGGACGGCGTCCGCGGCCAGCAGGTGCGCAAAGAGCCCCGCGGCGGCCCGCAGCTCGTCGGTTGCCATGCGGTGCGCCGCCGCGTAGCACCGCGCGAAGCACGCCTCGAAGCCTGCCTGGTACGCCCGGCTGATCCGGCAAAGCCGCTGCCCGAGCTGGCCGTAGAACCTCGTGTTGGACGACGCCCTCTCCTGCTTGCAGCACTCCACGAGCATGGCGCAGAGCTCCGCCTCCTGGCCCGGCCTCACGATGGACAGGAGCTTGTGCCCGGCCTCCTCGGCGCCGGCGCTCGACATGATCGTCTGGTATATCGTCCTCCGGAGGTTGATCAGGTTGGTGGCCGTCCCGTCCTTGATCACCTCCATCTCCATGTCTTCCCTGTGGAAGTCGTCGTCGTCGTCGTTGGGCTCGCTTTCTTCAATGTGCTCGCCATCGTCTCCTAGCATGCTTCGCTTGAGGTCTTCGTAGGCTGCCTCGTCCTGCAGAAAGGTGGCGCTTGGCTTGAACACGTCGAGATGGATCTCGGGGTCGAGCTGCTTGACATGGCTGTCCTCGAGGGGGATCTCGATCTGATGCGTGAACTGATCCTCCTGCTCGACGAGGTCCAGCTCTGGGCGGACGGGAGGGTGCCCCCGGAACTGGGTTCTCCGAACCGCGAAGAGGCCCTCGATCAAGAACCCGATGCGCCGGTCCACGTCGGCATCGACGAGGATGCTCCGGAGGGCGTCGAACACGGCGTCGACCTCTCTGGGGCACGCCTCGCCGAGGGCCGCGCCGCACTCCGTGACGACCCCGACAGCCACCTCCACGCCGTCGTCCGTGGGCTCGGCGAGCAGCATCTCGACGAGCTCCAGCGCCAGCAGCTCGTGCGCCACGCCCTGGTTCACGAGGTGGGCGACGAACATCGCCGCGGCCGCCAGCTGGTGCTTGTCGCCGGTGACGTGGGCGCGCCGGAGGCGCACCACGAGGCGGACGAGTAGGAGCCGGCCGACGGCCGGGATCTTGGAGTTAACGACGGCCGCGATCGCGGCGAACACGTCGGTGAAGGCCGGGCAGGCGGCCTGGGACTTGAGCAGCGCGCGGCAGAGCAGGCCGCGCCCGCGAACGAGGTTCTCGGCAAGGAGCTCCGGCAGGACGTGGCGGATGTTGGCGGGCGTGGCCTTGTTGACGTGGCCGGTTATGCTGGCCCTCAGCGCGTCCCAGGTCCGCCGCTGGTAGGCCGGGCCTGACTTGTCGTCGGCGACACCGGCGACGGCGTGGCCGACCGCTGCTGCCTGACGCGGCGGGACGTAGATGGGTCCACCAGAGAGGAGCGGCGGGCGCGCCATCTCGTGATCTACAGCTAGCGTAAACGCTTCGTGGTGTTTTCCAATGAGCCGGCTCGATGGTGTATATAAAGACAAGAGGGGCTGGGCTCTGATCCGAGTCGGTTTTTCCTTGCCGAGTCGGTTCAGACTAAGCATCCCACTTCGATCCGGATTTGCAAGTGTTAGAAGGGAGAGAGGGGATTGGTGAAATAATTCGTTGTATTGCTTGAGTCTCGTGGACATATATATAAGAGTACATGATCTATTTTAAGTACAAGACAAGCCAGTATACTTCCTAGTTTATCCTATGTTTCCTAATACAATCACGTTACTCAACATCCCCCGCAGTCACAACGGTAGCGACGCAGACGGTAAGACTGGAGAAGAATCCGAAGGCAAGCCGACGGACACCCCCCCACAGTCGTAACGCATCGCGGAGTCGTGACTGGAGTGGCAACCGACAAAGTTGATCAAGCACGGCGGTAGCCCTTTGTGCCGTTTGTCAAAGTAGCCGAGAGCGTATGTGGTGTAGCCATGGTCGAGGTAGCCGTGCAAAGAATGCTATGGTCGATGTCGAGTCGGGGTAGCCGGTGTCGAGGAAGTCGCCGTGGAGCCGCGGGCGCAAGGAGGCGCCGAGTCAGTCATGCGCGCAGTGATGTCGAAGTAGTGGTGTGCCCGGAAGAAGACATTGTTAACGACGCGTCGCGCCGAGGTTGCCAACCCACGGGACACATTGTAGACGAAGGCACGCGTCGGTGTTGCCAGCACCGGGCATGCGTAGATGGATGAAGACGAAGTTGGCGAAGCGCCGTACCAGGCTTGTCAGGCCCGGGGACACGTCGTGGACGAAGGCACGCGGCGGTATTGCCAGCATCGGGCATGCGTAGACGGGAACCTGCACGAGCTGTAAGCCATGTCGAAGAAGTCGGAGAGGCCAACAGAGAAGGACTCGACGGCGGTTGCGGCGCCAATCGGCGCGGGGCCAATGTCGCCCGCGGTTGTCAGAGTAGATGAAGCGGTCGGGGTAGATGATGGCGACGCTGGCGACGA